CATCGATTGCATGCTTCAGTGCGCGGCCATGAGAGAATGAATCCACTCTTTTTGGTGGAACCTTTGAGCGAAGTTTCAAGGCTTTGGTGGTCATTTGTTTACACTTTGTACATATTCACATCAACATTAATACAATGATATATTCGAGCTGCTGCTGCTGAAGGCGTTTTTATGATGACAAAAATATAGACTCGCCTGACTGTGTAGTTTAAGGAGCAGTCTGTAAACGTGTGGCCCAAAGTGGTACTGCAGCCTCTCCCACTCTCCCTGACTCAGGTTGCCAGATATGCAGACGAATCCAGCTGGGACCATCCATCCATCCATCCATCCATTTTCTTCCGCTTTATCCGTTGCCGGGTCGCGGGGGCAGCAGTCTAAGCAGAGACACCCAGACTTCCCTATCCACACACACCTCCTCCAGCTCGTCCGGGGGGACCCCAAGGCGTTCCCAGGCCAGCTGAGAGACATAGTCCCTCCAGCGTGTCCTGGGTCTTCCCCGGGGCCTCCTCCCGGTGGGACGTGCCCGGAACACCTCCCCAGGAAGGCGTCCAGGAGGCATCCTGAACAGATGCCCGAGCCACCTCAACTGGTTCCTCTCGACGTGGAGAAGCAGCGGCTCTACTCCGAGCTCCTCCCGTGTGACTGAGCTCCTCACCCTATCTCTAAGGGAGCGCCCAGCCACTCTGCGGAGGAAGCTCATTTCGACCGCTTGTATCCGCGATCTCGTTCTTTCGGTCATTACCCAAAGCTCATGACCATAGGTGAGGGAGGGAACGAACATTGACCGGTAAATCGAGAGCTTCGCCTTTCGGCTCAGCTCCCTCTTCACCACAACGGTCCGATACAGCGACCGCATCACTGCGCACGCTGCACCGATCCGCCTGTCAATCTCACGCTCCATCCTTCCCTCACTCGTGAACAAGACCCCGAGATACTTGAACTCCTCCACTTGAGGAAGGGCCTCTCCACCCACCCGGAGAGGGCAAGGCACCTTTTTCCGGTCGAGCACCATGGCCTCGGATTTGGAGGTGCTGATTCTCATCCCAGCCGCTTCACACTCGGCTGCAAACCGTCCCAGTGCATGTTGCAGGTCCTGGTTCGTTGGAGCCAACAGGACGACATCATCCGCAAAAAGTAGAGATGAAATCCTGTGGTTCTCGTGGACATTAAACCAGTAAAAATTAAATGAGTTAAAAGGAGTCTTTGGTTATACACTGCTCAAGCTTGAATCCTGCCGGCAACTGCCATAACTGCTGTGACCGAGTATTACATTAAAGCAACGCCACCTAGTTTTTAAAGTGAGACCAGGAACTCAAGATCTAAAAGGTTCTTAAAAACAAGGTGAGCAGTGCAAACCAACAGACTTAAAAAGGGATAAAACAATAATTTATTAGAAAAAGTTAGAAAAAATAGGAATACAGAATGTGATAAAATAATAAAACGGCTAAAAGTCCAGTAAAAAGGGGCGAATCCACGGTCCCAAAGAGATTGGATCTAACAACAAGAGGAGCAGGAGGCAGTAAAATCTTCTTTTAGAAATAGAAGTCTGTTGGTTAAAAGTGGGATGAATCCCGGCCAGAGCACTAAACGTCACTTACATGCACGGGTAGAGGAACTCTGCCCGCTGCATTGATCTCTTGTCGTGCTCTGGCTCCACACAAGGGAATAGCTGGCCAAAAAACAGAATTCTATGAGCAGCCAGAGGCCCGACCAGAGCACTATAACGTCACTTACTGACACGGGCAGAGTTTGCCCGCCACGTGTAGTCAACGTCGTGCTCTGGCTTCCCGTGGGTCCTCTGTGCAGGTACTACTACTACTACTACTACTGCTGCTGCTGCTGCTGCTGCTGCCGTCCTCGGTCGCCTCCTCTCCTCTGTCGCACCAAACGCTCCAGTCGTCAGCCGCCTCTTCCCACTCGTCCACTGTTTAAAAACCCTTCCCAATTGGCTCCTGCCACCATTGTCTCTGTCCATTGGTTAAAATCAGGGTAAAAGCTGCCACAGGTGTGGGGATTAAAAACAGGAAGTAAAACACACAGTGCTGCACACGGTAAAAACACATTTCACAATAAAAGCAAACAAAAAAAACAAAGTGCAAACACTGCAAAGTGCGCTGTGCGTCTGTCCTGTGATGAAGGCAGCAGAGTTTTAATCCCAAACCAATGAATAAGATGTGCCTCGGCTCAGAAAGGTTGGGGACCACTGCTCTAGACCATAATGTACTCCTGTCTTTACTTGAGAATCCACCAATAGTTGCTGTTTGTTTACAGACACTGATAAGGCCTTGGGCTCCGACCTCCCACTGATGGAGACAAAGCCCCAGTCACTCTGCAGCTCAAGTCTGTGTCCGTGTGTGTGTGAGTGTGTGTGTGTATGTGTACGCGTGTGAGTGTGTGTGTGTGTGCGTGCATGTGTCTAAATGTCCCCAGAGAGACAGCCAGGCAGAAGCAGATGTGAAGCAGTGGCCCCCAGCCGACAGAACATTGAACTAAGACTAAACAAATGCTACAGGAAATATGTTGTGACTCGTTTGGGAAAAAGCAAAGAAAACGTTTATCACGGGGGATGAGGGTATTTCGTGTGGACGGAGTACAGACGGGGATATGTTTCGTTTGACTTTAATTTATTATGATTCATGAGGACCTTTAATGCCTTTAAGAGGTAACTTGAGCTCACAATCTGGTGTTGACCTCAAAGCAATAACAACTTTTACCTGCAATTTGCAAAATATATGTTGTATAGACAGATCCTTTGTTTGTGGGGAAATGTACTTGTGTCGCACATCACACACATTAGAAATACGAGCATAAAAAACAAGAAAACAAGGAAGGATTCCCTCGTCCTGTTAAATGAAGAGTGATGTAAACGGAAACTTAAGTGTCTTAAACTGACAAATATTATTTATTTATATTATTATATATATACATTGTCTTGTTTAAGCAAAGGAAGGTTTTCTCACCCATCATCTGTACTTCTTAGCAGGTTTTCCCGACGTTTTGTCCTCAATCCAAAGGACTTGTCTCCTACGGTGATCAATAAAGTATCCATCCATCCATCTATCCTATTGACCAGTTGTTGTTGTTTGCCGATGCAGAATTACCCAAGGACAGTGATGATGGCGGATATTTATGCACATTTATTAACATTTAATATTCACATGGACTGTGGTAATCCTGGATCCTATGTGTTTGTAATTATTGCATTTCCTGTGTTCGAACTGTTTGATTTTCTGATCTGAAACACTTTACCAGAAACACTCACACAGAAGGGGGTTACTGTATAATAAGATAAGATTTTCTTTATCTTATCTTATTTTTATTATATCTATAATCTGAGGGGGTGTGGGAACTTCAAAATACATGCAGTGAGAACCACCAGGAAAAGTTTGTGTGTGTCTGTGTGTGGAGTTAAACTTTGGAACAAATTGTGTGTCGAGCTCAAAGCTGCACTGACTGACTTTATTTTTGTATTCATTACGAAAATGTTATCCGTATTCATGCAATGCATTGGGATATACGTCCTTTAGAAGAAAATGTAGCGCAGGTTTGTGCTGGCGTGACAATATAAATATAATCGAGTTTTGATGAAACAAGGAAGAGAATGTGTTTTGGGTCGTAGATTGTGACCAATCACAGCGCACCACTGGCCCCCACTTTCTTGAGAAAAGCCACAGGTCTCTTGTTAGCACAGACAACTGAGTTAGCACAACAAGTGGTGGAGGCTAACCTGAAGCTTCCTCGTCTTCGTCACCGGTTACTGCTTACTCAGCAAAACAGCCATCCAAAAGAAAGTCCCGTTCCTCCGTGCTTCCCGGTTCTATCATTCTATGGTCACGCCATCCACGCTCAAATGTACAATATATGGATCTATCTATATTGGGAGACGCTATCTCCGTAAACAACAGCGGGTGTGCGGTAGCGAGGGGCGATAGCTTTGTGGGTGCGGGGAGGGGAGGAGAGAGAGCGAGGCCAGCGAGTCCGCTGTTTCAAAATCCCAAAGTCAGTTAGTGCAGCTTTAAGCAATGTCCAACTATCCATCTGTTCAAATCAGCACTGTAAACCCTAACTTCAATCCTACTTCAGATATCAAAGTTATTTTAAATAGATTTTTCCCAGTAAGTAGATATTACTCATTTATTGTTAGTTTATTTAAAGCCTATGTCACTCAGGGTTTTCTTTGAATTGAACTGTTTCTGTTCAAGTAAGCCTCACTTTTGACATTTTGACCTGTAGAGTCTTTAATGAGGCAGGTGTGACAATGGCAGAGTGGGTAACACCTTCACCTCTCATCTACAGGGTTCTGAGTATGAATCCCCGTCGGAGCATAAGTAAAAATTTAAACTTTATTGCAATTACTCGAGTTTACTTGGTAATATCAAGTAAACGATGTACTCGAGGAATTCAAGTGAAGTTAATACGCAATTTATTTCCATGGTTTTTTCAAGTACAGTAAACTTTACTTGTCAGGGTTTACAGTGAGCATATAAAAAAAGTTAGTTATTTTCACCATACAGGAATGTGAATATGGGGGTTTAAATTGTTATAATTCTAAAGTATTTGAAAGGGAAAATCTGATCTCATCAACAAAATCATATATATTATTATTACCATTATTACTATACTGTTCTATTATAATTATTATTGTATAATACTGTCTATTAATAATAATATGCTGTGTCTGTACTAGGGCATTTATTGGAGTCATTATGGTATTTTTATGGTTGTCACTATGTTTGTATTGTTATGGAAATTTTTTTTTTTACTATAGGCGTCATTACATCAACATCACAATCCATCATCTATTTACTGGAAAAGTGATAAATGAATCCTGGTTGAAGTGTTGGTGCTGTAGCCAGAGATTACAGTTTGAGCATGTTCATAGAACTCAAAGTACAGGGTAGGCAGGGGGGCTCTGCTGCTGGAGGGACCCTCTGGCAGAGGACCCCCACATACTGTCTCTTTTAATGCACAGAATAGGACACGTAGCAACGATCTGCAGCTCACAGGCTGCTCCCTCTGGAGGCTGCTCCCTCTGGAGGCTGTTCCCTCTGGAGGCTGTTCTCTCTGGAGGCTGTTCCCTCTGGAGGCTGTTCTCTCTGGAGGCTGCTCCCTCTGGAGGCTGCTCCCTCTGGAGGCTGTTCCCTCTGGAGGCTGTTCCCTCTGGAGGCTGTTCTCTCTGGAGACTGCTCCCTCTGGAGGCTGTTCCCTCTGGAGGCTGTTCCCTCTGGAGGCTGTTCTCTCTGGAGACTGCTCCCTCTGGAGGCTGTTCCCTCTGGAGGCTGTTCTCTCTGGAGGCTGCTCCCTCTGGAGACTGCTCCCTCTGGAGACTGCTCCCTCTGGAGACTGCTCCCTCTGGAGGCTGTTCCCTCTGGAGGTCTGCTCTCTCTGGAGGCCGATCTGTGGACGCAGAGACTCCCTTTATAAACAACACTAAATACAAGCTTGCTCCCATCAGCACCAATGATCAAATTTAACTCACGTATAACACTAGTAAATAGTAAATATACAATATTCTATAATCATATTTAATTGTTATATACAATATACATGATAATGAAAATTATGAACATGAAAAATATAGTTAGAATTAGTGTGATACTTAAAGGCATATAAGATATTAAGGTAAGAAGAATATAAAAATATTATACATATACTTTATAAATCAAGGGCATATTAACTTGAATGTCACTGTTGCATAACTGTAAATAAACCACTGACTAAGCCAAGCTATAGCAACCACATAATATAAGTTAATTAAACTAGAATAATAAATGGGGGTGGGGGTTTAAAAGTCTTAACTTCTTCCCACTCCTTTTCGAGCTAACTTTTTGTTAATAAAACAAAACATACTCTAAATGTGTTTATTGTTTATTTTTCTATTCTGTAGTTTTGTCGCTGTTCTTTGTTCTTGTCTGACATGGCTTGAAAAAAGTATTCATTCATTCATTCATTAATCTGTTTTTCTGTCTTTGTAAAGTCCTCTTAGACGACTGCTGTTGTGATTTAGGCTATACAAAAATAAGAAAAATGTAAACACTTCCTTAGTCTTAGCTTCGAAATCTTCAATAATCCTTAGCTTAATTATTCATTTATGAACAAAACATGTACAAGGTCATGTAGAAGGTCAGCAGTTCTCATTGTACAGTCTGACAGCAGCAGGAGGACAGACTTGTAGAACCACTCCTTTGCTTTTACCCACCACACCGACATGAGACATGCCTCACTCTCAATGGTTCAATATTTAACATTTCTGGGCGGATGTTTGGAGAAACAGGTGACGTCACAAGGTCAAGAGTCAGATCTGAGGAGAGTGTCTTTAAATGACATCTACATATTTCTATGTGTCCTCAGGTCCACATGTATAAATCATATTTGACCTTTTCTGAACAAAGAGTACATTTGAGATCATCCTTATCAGAAATACATTGAATCTTGTCCTTAATATTCTTGTTTACAGTTGTGGCATAGGAATGGATGACCGAGAAGATTATCCAATCAGAGAGCAGAATCAAGGCATCGTTTGGGCTGCCAGTTTGTTGGTAATTGATTTTTATTTTGATGTTCATACCAAAATTCACACATAAAACAGTAGCATCACATATTTACTTAAATGAATGTGGTAAAATAAGTAGATAAAAAAATGATTATGAGTATTATTAATATTCTATGTACCACAAATTGCCACAAGAGGGCAGTTTTGCTGTGATTCATCCACTTCCCTAATGCCATGGAGGTCAACAAATGTTACCAGCTGTTTAGTGCGAAATCCATTTGCATGTTCTTTCTTCGTCCTCCGCAGTGTATTTACCAGCTATAATTTACCCTAATTACATATTTGATCACACGGCCGTGTAATCTGGGGGAAATAATGAGCACATTAGAGGAGTGGGCTGGCACTCACCAGAACATATCGATTGATCCCAGAGGAGTACTGGGCTCCATAAATCCAAGTCTGAACATGTTTAGCACAGAAAACAAGAGCCGGAAGTTTGTAATAGACAATAGGCAAGGAATGTTTTATTTGTATGGCACATTGTATAATGTACATATAGGGCAACTCGTGCGTTACAAAACAAGACAGAAAACATGAAAATCCATTATCATTTTTACATTAACGTCTCCGTGAAGAGGAGCTGAGTTTAAGTAAGTAAGTAAAATGTTAATGATATACTGTAAGCACATTTTACAGACCAAGGTCACGCGAAAGCGCTTTACAATTGTTGGGAGTTCAAATATTTTTCCATTCTTTCCACGCACAGTGATGACGAAAGCGAGACACACAAAAAGAGATGGAAAAAAAATCATAAGTTGCTCCAATTTTGCTAAATGTATCTTAATTTGAGCACATTTTGACTGCCTTGAAACAAGATTCGCCGACGGGACAAGCAATATTATCTTGTTTTAAAAATATCCAAGAAATGTCTTGGAATGATAGAATAAAGCAACAGTTCTTGAAATAAGACTGATTGGCTTTGTCCCATTGCCAAATCTTGTTTTGAAGCGTCACAATGTACTCAAATTCTGATAAAAAAAACACTACTAGATTCAAGCAATTATTAAGATAAGATTTGCTTTATTTATCTCACATAGGAGAAATTTACAACTTACAATTTATTACGTCATATTTTATCATCCATTCACTCACTCTTTTCATTCAGACCTATCGTACATGTTTTTATTGGTAGGGGACACCGAAGCACCCGGAGGAAACCTATACAGACACAGAGAGAACATGCAAACCACTCAGAAAGGCCTGGACGTGGAATCGAACCCAGCACAAGCTCTAACCTCTGTGCCACCGTGTCAGACCCTCCTCCACAGATGCACTATGGGTACTCGGCTGTCTTGTTCTTGTTCATAGTATTCTATAGCGTCTAGCTTTGAAAACTGAAGTGACAAGTTACCTTGGCAACAGGAAAACAGGATTTCATAGACGCTTCAGAGAATGTACACTCAAAAAAATGAATAGCGACTATTGTTGGTTTTACTTAATAACATTAAGTAGTATTTACTTAAAAAAATATATTTCTTCACTTTTTTCAACACCATTGAGTAAATATAAACAAGTACTTTCAATTAAAATGATAACTCAAGATGGCTGGTTAGAGAAATCGTAATTGTTTTAAGTACAACATTAAGTTTGTCTTTCAGGGCTTGCGGCAACTGCTAGCTCAAATGCACTTTGTATTAATTTTATGTTTTACATGTTATTAAATGTATTTTAAAATGTTTTAACAAACAATAAAACAGACAAACAATACATTAAGAAACAAACATAAAAAAGGGTGTCTTATACTGTCCAATGAACTGTTCCTCACCATTTGTCTTTAAAATTATTATTATTCATAATATATGATATTATACAATGTGACAAACATGTAGTACTTGACAAAGACAGAAAAGTTCTCGTGTTTCTAACTTCTGTGGGACATGATTTCACAAAAAAGGTAATTAAATATTGTACTGTTATCAAACAAATCTTTTCACATTCACATTATGAGTTTGATTACTATAAAATGTATGTTTGAATGTGCTGTAAATCAAATAACTGAGTTTTTCAAAGATTCTTGAAAAGGTTGCATATTTATTATGAACTAAATTCAAATTATTGGAATTACTCAAGTCTACTGGCCTGGAATTACATGACAACGTTTAATAAAGTGTACCAAGTTAGGTCCCGATTTGTTGCCGTAGCTGACTTCCGCTATAAGTCACGTGCAATACTGTGACACGCATGCGCACCATGGGATTCCACAACGTGGACTGGGGCCGTCTGGAGGACTCGTTTTCTAAATAAGGTACTTTTATTTACTTTGCATTGATATTTTTCATGACATTTTGCTGCTAACTAATCAAACTGTCAAAGGTGTATGTATTTATTAGGCTCTCAGCGAACCTTATCAGTAATCTGCCGACGTACCGCCATTTTGTTCATTACTATACTTTACATAGTATGCCCTTTCATCAGTCAGAAGACATTTTACATGAGTTTTATAGCAAATATAGGGCTGCTGCATGTCCGTGGCACTGGCACCGGTGTTCGAAGGCGCCTGGAGCAGAGGGACACCGTGTTTGTGCTCGGGTCGGGTTCACACACTGTGCCCCATGTGCTCTAGGCGGGTTCAAACACAATGGTACCGCTCGCGGTTCTGCTCGCAGTGGTGAGGAATGTGGACGTGAATGTGTAGATGTCGATGAGAGAGCGCTGCCATGCGTTATCACCATCTTAAGCGGGAAGTTCGTCAACCCGTTTATAATCTATTTCTAATTTGTACTTATTCAGTCTAAATGGCGTCGCGTTTCAGTAAATATGTCGTCAGAATGATATTATAGTGTTTCTCCATTACAGGAAAAAACGATTTAGGTTCAAATCAAACTTTTTTTCCCATGGGAAGAGCTATAAAATTTATAAATTGAGGCCTAAACGGAACAGTGTCAGTTCATAGTTACATTATGTAAATTAGTGATATAGTATAGTGTAATATCGGGCTTTGTATCACCCGTAATAAAGAAAAGGTGAATATAGTCTAACATTCTTTTTTCCCCGCAGATCGTTTGATGTGGCAGTGTAAATTGCTGGAAAGAACTCTTTTATTTAAGCATTACAGGTTAGTTCATGGCTCCAGACAACGATATCCATGTGCTTATGCAGATTGCCCTTGTACTTTCAAAACCTTGAATACTCTCTACAGCCACACAAGCAGAGTGCATCCACAAAAAATCTGCACAATAATGTGGCAACATTTAGTCCATTTGTGTCCATTCAATGGCCTAGCTTCAGATAGAGTATTTTTCACATGTCAACACTCGTCTGAAGAGTAATAAGACAGTACATTGCATGTTTAAAGGTTGTTCTTACAAAACAAATGTAATAAAAGCTTTCTTTATATTATAGATTCAGAATTCAGACGAATCACAACATCCTTGACGTCAAAGTTTATGTCCCAGTTGGATGAGTACGCCGCTACACTAATCTACAAGAGGAAAGGAGGAAAACTTGGAGAAATCATGGAAGGATTTGCAGAGGTTTGTAATTTTGAAGGACAGCTAAACACCAAATCAACTTTCTTTATCTTATAAACTGCATACATATTTTTGTTATAGTGCTCTCTACATATCCTGGTCAATTGTTTGACATTTTAGTGCAAATTAGATAAAATCTCACAGTTAAGCCTAAAACCGTCAGTGTGGCGCCCGCTCTACACTAAAGTGGCACTAAATTTGAATTTGGTGCCTGGCCCCTACATTGACTCTGGAGTGCAGTGTGACATCACTTTGTGCAGCGTGACAGGCGCAGAACGACGGACGTCGCGCTACTTTCTTGCATGCTTTCCGGTGGAAAGTGGAAGTGTCACACATTCCCCGTAGCGAGTTGGGAGTATTCTGACGACATCTTT